TGGAAGTCTAAAAAGCGTGTTCGTTGTAAAGTTTGTGATAAGCCTACTAGTTCTGAACCTGGATTATGTAGAGCTCATGTTAAAGGATATTATGTTATGAAATGCTTATATGGACAGAATTCGAAGTTATGTTATCAAAAAATTTACACCAAAAAAAATGTGATATAAAAAAAATTACACCAGTTGTGATTAAGGTATAAAAAAATTTATATCAAAGAAGTGTGATATCAAAAAATTTATACCAGTTGTGATTAAGGTATAGAAAAATTTATATCAAATAGTATATGATATCAAAAAATTTTCACCTGGGTGTAAATTTTTGGACCAGAAAAAATAATGAAAAATTGTCTTTAGATTGAATTCTGATATATCAAATAATATCATAAATAATTGATATCTTTTTTGATATGAATTTGGATAATTAAATGTGTTCTAGCATCAGGAAATTTTTTCGGTAATATTCTGTAATTTTAACACGGTGATAAATTTCCATAATTTTTCACATAATATTATGGAAATTTACGAAAATTTTCGAAAGTTATTAAAATGTTAAAATTCCATAATATTATATTTAAAAAATTACAGAAATTTAATATTATGTTAAAATTACAGAATATTATGTGAAAAATTATAGAAATTTATTATCATGTTAAAATTACAGAATATTACACTCAAAAAATTACGAAAATTTAACACTATGTTAAAATTACGAAATATTATGTAAAAAATTACAAAAATTTAATACTGTGTTAAAATTACAGAATATTATGTTTAAAAAATTTTTTTGATACTGTTAAAGATTTTTGTCTATTAGAAAATCTATTTATTATATTGAAATTTTCAGAATTTTATTATAAAAAATTTATATTAACATTAAAATTCCGTAAATTTACATCAATACAAAATTCTGTAAATTTACATCAATGTAAAATTCTGTAAATTTACATTAATGTAAAATTTCGTAAATTTACATCAATGTAAAATTTCATAAATTTACGTTAATGCAAAATTCCGTAAATTTATATCAATGTCAAAATTCCGTCAGAATCCCATAAATTTTCGTGGGTCCTATAATATTACGGAAATTCAACATAGTGTAAATTTTCGAAAATTTTTGCCTATTAAAATTTACTGATGAGATATATAAAAAATTAATATACTCTGATATAAAAATGACATGCAAAATTTTTTCACTACACAGGAACCATGGTATATAGGATCAAGTTCTAGTAACTTGAAAAGCTTAAATTGATATATAAAAAATGATATGCTTGATGATGATTTTGGAGCATGAAATATAGCAAGTTGACTAGTGCTGAGTCAGAACACCCATTTTTACACTACTGGATTTCTTTTTTGAGAGATTAAATAACTCTAAGCTTCCTATACCAGTGATAGAAGCAATTGACAAATTAGATCAGAATATGCTTTATTAAATTTCATGATATAATATTAAAAAATTAATATTGTATTTTATATTATAGAAAAAATTGAAATTTTTCATAAAAAATATGAAACATATACTAACAAAAAAATGTTATCAGCCCTTAGAGATAATGAAATAAAGTCTAAAGTACTAGTCCTCAAGGAATACCTCAGATGATTTTATTTTAAAAATATATATATGAATAAATTATATAATTAATAAATAGATTAAATCAAATAAATGATGTATTATAATAAATTAAGCTATATATTGTTAATTTGTCATATTTTTTCTTAAATGGTACATAATAATTGATAATGTTGAGCAAGCTCTGAAGCACAAGGGCCATCAGGTCGATATATATATTCAAGCTATACGTGTTGCCCAAATCCCAAATTACTAGTATTTGGGATTTGGGATTTGGGATTTCGGCAAAAAATACTAATCATAATTTGGAATTTGGGATTTGGGATTTTGGCATTTGAGATTTTGGCATTTGGATTTTGAATTTGGGTGGCAGGTATAATTCAAGCTATCTTTGTGCTATGATATTTACAGCTTGAATCTTTTTTACTGTTTCTCAAATATATTTAACTCTATTGATAAGATTTTCTATTTGTAATTCATACCGATAAATAGCTAATCTTGTAAAATATCATATTCAACTTCTGGTTTTTGCTTAAGTTCCATATATTCTTTGTTAATATCACAATATTTATTTTCAGTACAATTTGTACACCAATGTTCTCCCATCTTATAATTGAGACATAATTTATATCCTATTCTTTTTTCGACATAAACAAACTGATCATAGCTATAATATATGGCAATGTTTGTTTCAACATAAAATCTATTGTTATATCCTCCTAAAGGTTTATACTTTCTTGCAATAAGATATCACTTCTTATCATCACCTAGGTGATTATTGTTTCTATAGTACATTAACTGATTCCAGATTTGTTTCTTCCATTCAGATGGGATTTCTCCATTGAGCATTGCTGGAAATTGACAATTATCTCTCCATTCAGTATTGCTCAAAACTGGGTATTTATCTGTATAGACCATATTTAATGATTAAGTAATTTATAGTATTTTTAGAGATTATGTGATTATAGGAATTTTAGACCTATTTGATTTTATTAACTATATGTATGAATATATTGAATTAGATTTTAGTGAGATTGGATTCTTGAACCATCTCTTCAAGAGTGTTATAATTGTCATATTTTGTAAGGATATATGGGGATAAGAATAAGAGAGAGATATATGTATCTTTAAATATATTTTGAAGTTTTATATAACAGAGCTAATATCTCAGCACTTAAAATTATTTGTTAATAAAGCATATGAAATCAACAAATAATTCTATTATAAAATAATAATATTCGCTAGTTTTATTATTTTTGATTTAATATATACATACATATCAATTATGTGATTTAATTTTCGTTAGCATGTTTAATATTGCATAAAAAATAAGTTTAATATCTGAAACATATGTATTACTGCTATTTTTAGTAAGTATGTATTACTATATCTGGTTATCTATTATATAATCTGCATATTGTGTACATATATCTTCTATTTCAACTCCTTACATATCTCCTGACTATTTGTGTAACAGATCTTACGATATATATCAAATTTCCGGATCGTAAAATTTTTTTACTTATCTTGCAGTAATTCTTTGCGATAAAAAAGCAATACCTATAAAAATGTCCACATATTCAGAACCAGCATCACCTTTAAGCATATACTCCGACGAAGAAATAATAACTCGTACCATGGGAGAAGTTATTAAAGACTATGATACTGAGGAGCTTATCGATTATTTAGATAGGAATAATTTGAATCTTAAGGATTCCCATTTTGCAATTCTTCGTAAACAAGAAATAACTGATGGAGACTTTCTTGAATTAACCAAGGATGATTTTCAAAATATTGGTTTTGCTTTTGGTCCAGCTACAAGATTGGTTAAATTTGTTAAAGACCTTAATGAAACAAAATTTCGTCGTATAAAACATTAGATGATCTAAAGGTATTGCTCAAGAAATATAAGGTTAATGGTGAAAAAATTACATTTATAAAGCAGTTTAATCCAGGTAAATAATATATATATTTATTACTTTTTGTAATAGAATACTTATATAACGGATCTAGTGTCTGTATTCATATATATATATTTTTCTACAGTTTATGAAGAAATCGCTGATGATGAAAAAGCTCTCAAGCGATGTATGAAAGAAATTATATTAAGGCTTTCAAATTTGGAGACCATACAAGATAGTACCAATGAAGCAACCCGTTGTATTTTTATTGCATCTATCCTGGATGCATCGATAGCAATTACTCGAAAACTCACTAACAATGAAGAAATATATATTGCCTACCAAGACGATGTATCTGGCGAAGATTCCTCCGGGCGCGTCGATTATTCAATAAAAGGATATGAGGATCTTATATGTATAGCGGAGGGAAAACCACGTAATGTTGAAATCGGTTACCTCCAAAATATAAAACAACTCGAAAGTGCAAGCCACATGAATAAAAGGAAGCGAACTGCAGAGCAGGCATTTCAAAATTATGATGATTATCTTTACGGGATAGTCTCTACAGGTATAGCAGAGTTAATCTCTCCGATAAAAATTTTATATATTATCTGACGTTCGATTGATTATCTTTTTTTCTAGCTAAGGAATGGCATTTTATTAAACTCACCACGGAAGGGCTATATTCTACCAGCAAGAGCGAATATCGGATTAATCTATCCAAAATGGCATTGAAGGAGGATCTTGAATCAATTTGAAAAGGCGTTAAAACGGTAATTGGCGTGATCGTGGGGTTATTAAGAGATAGGATTACAATGTGCGACGAACGTGAAGTTAAAAAACGTCGTTTACGAAAATCTAACAAATTCTAGTGTCTGACACTTATTTTTTTAACTGTATTATATGTACCTGGCATCTGTGCCTATATTTTATCTGTAACAATAAATAAACATTTTCCGAATTTATCTTTGACCGGATAGATAAAATCAAATAACTTTGGTTTATTCCGCATATATAATCGTGCATGTGATCCGTGAATTATTTTTCTGATGTATTGCGATAACATATATATGATCAAGAATTTGTCTTGGAAAAGTGATCTGCGTGAAGAATTCTTCACGCGCACGTGAATATTTTTCTCTGACAAAGTGATTGATTATTAATTAATATATACGCGTCTTTATTTGAAATTAAAAAGGTATTAACTAACAAACATTTTTCAACACGTAAATTAATATCAAACATACAAGATCAGAGGGACAAACCTAAAGTCAGGGTAACAGCATGTGAAGAACCAGAAAGTAAAAGACGTATACAAGAAAAAATAAAACTAATATTTTTGTAACCGTATTTTTTTAATAAGTTGGTTAAAAATGATTAATTACTTAAACTACGTCATACAAAATTTAAATTTCCAATTAAAAACTTAGTAACTTTATTTCTTCAGAGATTTTATTACCATAATCACATTCACGTTTCGTGTTAATAATTTTCTCAAATGGATGCAAGACGTAAAATACTAGTCCTTAAGATGTTCGAACATCGATAATGGGCACTTTTGTTTTCATAGGACTCGAGTTCGAATCACGCTGATAGTTTACACTCAGTTGGGAACTACCATTTCTCATGCTACGTTGCTCCGTTTCAATAACGAGTTCCTAAAATGAAATATACAATATAAGTAAGAAGTTAACTAATAGACTATTAAAAACACTTACTTTTAACTCATAACATCTCTCCATGACAGAGAGAATTACAAGGAATTCTGCCACTTCAGTTGGAAATGTCATTTCAACTAGAGACACAAACTGATATAAACCATCGTAATTTAAAGTAATTCTCCAGAACTCAATTCTGTTTCCTATTACACAAATATATAATTAGCATGTTGCTTATAAATAAAGGATTGCTTTGATTATTTACCGTTAATGAGCACACCATATGTTTCGTCATGGATTCCTTGATCTAGTGCATCTTTCATAAGATTGGCCAATTTGGAAAGTGCCTGATTTACAATGAATTTATGGTTTTCTACTTTTGGTGGTTTAATTTCACCAAATAAAATTTCGGACTGATTTTCATCTTCACTAATTAAACGAAAGTCTGGCTTTAACCCATGAGCATTACCATCTCCTGAGCGTTGATTTTTAGACGAACTGCTCTCCCCATTTGCCCTATATTAATAAAAAGTCAACAGTTTCATTAATATCTTTGTAAAAAAGCTTATCATAAAACAATAACATAAAACTGGGGTAAAGCCTCAATGAAAAAAAAAAAAATTATAAAACATACCACACAAGTTGCATATTTTCGATACGGAAAATTTCTTCCAAAATCACATGACAGGTTCTGTGGACGTAAGTATCCTCGTTTGAAAATTCTTATTTTTACCATATGGTAAATTGTAAAAACTACAAATGACATAATACGTCACAGGTAAATTACTTATAATGTCATTAAATATTTTTCCTACTTACAAATTACGTGTTATAATCTGCATCGAGTCAAATATCCTCTTATCATTTTGATTTTCCAATAATGACACTTTACTCCAGTTCTGCCTCCACAAGTCTTCAAATTCTGCCGAATCACTCCTCATTAAAGGCTTACGAAAAAAAAATGCATAATCAGTGTATTAAATCAATATAGCATTGAATTTATATCTTTATATGTTTACCTGCATATATGAACATACTGTGACTTGGATAAGGGCTGGCATCTTGAATTTATAGGTAATATGCGGAAACGCCATTCGCCACTCATTTTCAGTACACGTAATATAAGTTGGTTTTTTATTTCTCCTTAATATCATTATGCTCGATAAAGCACTATTACAAGCACAAACGATATGTGAACATTCTATTAAAAAATACGATTTTGTTTTGGATTAAGGCTTACATTATGGATTCAATATCAGTTGCATAGCTTAAGGTTGGATCAGTTTTTAATTTTTCAATAATTGACTTCTGAAATTGTCGAAAATCATGCGAGAAATTGTGTCCATTATTAATCCACTATTCAATGCAAAATACAAAAAGATGATATTTAGCAAGAACGCAATATGCAAGTTTATCAGTTCCAAAAACATTTGTGAACATACATCCTTCATGGAATTTTCTTTTATTTCTATTTTTGATATTGTGTAGTCCCATGTGAAAATTTGCCTCGAACTCACTTTAATGTTGAACGGAGGCATCGCATATTTTTCTCTGATCTAAATTAAAAATATAAGCGGATGCGCACATTTAAGATGATTACGAATGATGCTGTTCTTACCTTTTGTTCATTATCAAAAGTCTCATCATTAATATGTCCATTCTCATCATTTTCATCATCGCCATCACAGTCTCTTTTACGCTTTCCGATGATTGCATTTGTTATATCATCTAATGCCTTCGACTTAGATACTTGAGCCCGCAATGACTAAATATTATTTGTTACGTTAACGTTATGCCAATGTACTGATAGTTTGTATAAAAAAAAGGAACCTGCTTTTCCCGAATATCAATTTCATTTTCCCTAATCAATTGCTGTCGCTCAACACGTTCAATAATCTTGTCGGCAAGCTCCATGAAAAAATCTTTTTTCGTCTATAACACTATTGTTTAGATATATCGAATTTTGAAAACAAGATTATAGTAAAAGTTTACCTTCATAACCCTCTTTAGAGTTTTTGCATACTCCGTAACGAATTTGGGGTAACTGCCGTCCTCGATGCGAGTTAATGACCTACAGAAACACCTAAATAAATCTGATGCTGTATGGGCTCAGTCGGACTCTAACTTGAAATTTATAAACTCATCAAAAAGTTGCCACTTAGAAATTGGATTCATAGAGAAATAAGTATCAATGTCTGGATGCGTAGGAACTTTATAGTCCATGATTTCTAGAGAAGGTATCAAGTACGCGTTTCAGCATTCTCGAATTTTTATTGGCAACTACGTGTCTCTGTTTTATCACGTGTAGATGCAATAAAACCTTTTTCTTTATTCAAAAAATTAAATCATTATCGTAAAGTTATGGTAAGGCCTTCGGCTACATTAAGATAAGTATTATAAAATTCTTTCACAGCCTTTCTACGAGGGTCTCGCAGAAATGCTCGCCTTCGCACTTTCCCTACGCTTTGGACTCGGGAAACCTCTCCAAAGTTTACGACTCGTGTTTTCACTCTCGGGAGGTGTATCGTAGAAAGAGATGAGGGTCTCGCAGAAATGCTCACCTTTTACACATCCCTACGCTTTGGACTCGGGAAACCTCTCCAAAGTTTATGACCCGTGTTTCGACTGCTCGGGATGTGTACCATCGCGCAGTGATAAACCGATTATAAAAAAAGAGCTAGCTAATTTAATTTTGTGATTTTTTAATGCTAAGCGTATATTTACTTCTTTCAGAAAAACAACACGTTTGACTACCCATACCGTATGTGCAAAATAAAAGTAATTTTTATTGACCGGTTACTAAAGGAAGTATGGAACTTTGATTTCTCTTTTTTGAAGAACTGTAATTCTATTATTTCCTGATAACATAAATACTGTGGCAGAAGAAAATACTCTCACTTAAAAGAAGCTGGCGTGCCACACCTTGAAGAAGGCGCTCAAGAAAAAGTTCTAGTATGATTTTTGATTGTGGTGTTGTGTGTTTTCAAATGAATCAACTTCTAGACTTGCAAACTAATGACTATTCTTTTACACAGACTTCGAGAAATTTATTAGCATTAGAAAAGATGGGAAATGTAAACTTTCGGCTGATTTCTCTCTCAGGTTCGAAAAAAATATATTAGTTTACTGCTAGATAACCAATAGTTGTTCATCCTGACAATGGTTCGTATAGGTATATCTGATAACCATTTTTATTTTATTCAGAATATCGGTAAAAAATGAACCGGACTATAATTATTACTGAGATATTGAGTTAGCATAAATAGTTTAGACATATGAAAATTTTTTAGTGTAGATACTCGTATAGAAATAATAGATAGATTTTTGATTCATTTCGATTTTTATTACAATTAATAAAGCAAAGACGTGTTTTTACACAGTATTTTTCATCCACGTAAGTGGCTCTGTTTTGCAAGTGTAATCAACTTTTGAATAAAACTGCTTTCTATATAAAAAAATGGCAAACGCACAATCCACAATTGTCTCATTGAAGGAATTGAATTCTAAGCTTATAGCCGAAATTGATAAACTTAGAAAAGAGAATGCTGATATTAAGGCCGAAAATATAAAACTAAGAAGTTGGGGCTAGATTTACGAATCTAGAGCAGAGAGATAAAGAAAAGAGTGACCTTATTGCTAAACTACAACAGAGTGATAAAGAAAAAACCAACCTTATCACTAAGCCCGAGCAGAATGATAAAGATACTGTTGCTAGAGTTGCGAAATTAGAACAGAAGCAATTGCAAGACGATGAAAAGAGTAAATTATATGATGATACCAAGGAAAACAATCAATCTTTAGTTGATGACACATCTACCGAAACAGAAAGTTCAAACAATACTCATGGACAGATAAACTTACAACGTGATGATACTCCTATATCTGATGTGCCTGACATTACTTCAAATTCTGATGAACTCAATAATGCTCCAAATTCTGATGTATCTTTTGAAGATAAAGAGATCGAATTTCTGGAACGGGTACATAAAGATCAGATTAGAAACGAAATAAGAGAGAAAAACCGGGAAAAAAAGCTATTACGAAATAATAAAGCGTCTACTTCTCAAGATCAAGAACCGACACAAAAGAATTTTATACCCAAAATCGATCAGAATTTTTCAGAAGAACCTATTAGTCAAACACAAAGTACCATTCCTTCCGAAATAAAAATTCCCTATAATCAGAAAGTAGAACAAGGTTTAATACATGAGTTATTTGAATTTATTAGAGGCACCGATTTCATGTCCTTACAAAATCTAAAGAAAACTCCATTGAATTCTATCTTCATTAAACAAATTTCGGACATTCCTGTTGATATAGATCTAACTCCAGGTTCTGCACCTCCTTTAGCTCATTTATTTGGCAAGGCCGAGAAAACTGGACGAAAAGAAAAATTGCGATGGTATTATTATAGTGAGAAATATGAAAAAAAAGTTTCGAATCTTAGTTAAGAAAAAAATATTAGTGATCAAATGGCGAGAACGCAAATCTATAATGAAATGATGCAGTATCTACCTGGAATCAAGAGAGAGTATTTGCGTAAGATGACTCAAAAGGTAAAATTGAGTACATTACATATAGTGTTGATGCTATTTCTAGTTTAACCGGTACACAAATTCAAAATATTATAAATTTTTATACTAAAGAATTAGATGTAAAAGTATTATCGTTTGAATCTCAAAAATTGATTGGCGTGAAGAATTCTTCACGCTCACGTGACAACCGGGAACCAAAGAGACAATCACTATATCCACTCCCTCTATTCAGACATTACATACCTCTAATTCGATTAATGAGATAAGTGGGGAAGTTAAATCTTTATCAGAGAGCGAGGACAATATACCTACTGAATCACTAGAATCTTTCAATGATAATGATGATGAGAATAAAATAAATGTAACATTTTCTTATGATGATGAGAATAAAATAAATGTAACATTTTCTTATGATGATGATGCTGGTTATTACTATAATTTAAGTAGCAAAAATAAAATAGAGATAAACAAGAAAGATGAATCTTTACTGGAGACTTAGGTAAGTGCATCATCTAATCCAACTTATGATCATGTTTATTTCTGTAATAAAACATTAAAACAATATCCTGATTTATATTGGAAAGGTAGAGATGGAAACAATAATTATTATGGGATTAAGGATGAATCTTTATACCCACTATGCAAGTTAGATCATTATGAGGATTATGGTATAAAAGGCAGATATAAAACTGGATCCTATTTTATTAAATGTGAACAGCATGGAATTAAAATTGAGGTAACAGCATAAATTTTATTCTGCCTTCTTGTGACTTCTCACTCAAAGCCAAAAAATAGATAGTAAAAATATATTTATTAATGTGTTGCCATCCATTTTTCTTGACACATCTCGATCCACAAGATAACCATGTCAAGTGATGATATCAAATGGTGCTGACATTCATTTTTTTTAACATATTATTTATCTTTTTCCAAACTAGAGAAGAAAAAGGAAGCATATTTATTTTTTATTAGTATTATGTAACTTTAGTCACTAACTTTGCTATTAATTTAAAGAGATGGAAACTATATAAAATGGCAACATGAATACATAAACAAATACCAGGCCCTTTAGAGATGACTTTATGAGTTATAAAATATTAAGTCCTGAATATTTGGAATGGGAATCTAAATTAACAGAATTGTTATTCATTTTGATAGATAAAATTTGTTCTAGGTTTTGTAGAAGTTATAAGAAAAAACTGAATTTGATCTTTGGATAAACTCAGAATTCTCACAAATTAAAAATACTAATAATCATCTTTCACAAGACTATATTATTAAAATTTTCAAGTTTTCAGAAAAGAAAAGTACAATTCATGAAGTAGTATATAAACACTTCTTTTTCCTGTCTTATACTAAATCAAATGCATGGTATCAAGATGTATTTAAATATATCAATTCAAAAGCTAAATGTCCGATATGCAATAAAGTTCATGTATGTTTAGATATATAGAATAATTGGAACTATCTAGGTAAAAATAATCACTATTTTCTTAACTCTCTTTTTCATATTAATCAAAAGAAAATTATAATTGCTGTATAGAGTTTACTGGAAATTCAGAAAGAGGTACCAAACAAAATTTGTCTTTATTAGTCAAAAGCAGGCTTATGCCAATATGCCATTGAACATGGAATGAATCTTGAGAGATTTGCGGTCATTACTGAGGCTGAGAAAAAAAGATGTGATAGAAAATATTTTTGTAAGAACTTAGAGAGGAATATATAGTTCTATCGTTGTGGAATAGAAAGGATAAATTTTTAACAGATCAGGATAGGCTAGTTGGTAAAAAGTTATTGTGTTATAATATATTAAAAAGTGGGTTGAGTACTGCATAGCTTGATAATTTTATAGAAGAATGAGAAAAAATCCATATTCAATTCACACAGATATTTAGTTAGAACTTTGACCTTTTTGAGAAAAAGACTTTACTTACACTACAAGTAAATGTTTCATTTATATCATTAAAACAACAATTCCCAATTTCTGTTTTACTTAAAAATTCAAAAGAAAAGTAATAATACATTATTAATATAGTATTAGAGTAATTTTCTTATTTAACTCTGAAATATAGTTTTAAAGATAATAATTACTATGTTTTAACAGTTCTATAGCCTGCCTTACATCAGGAATTTTTATATAATGTTCTACAACATTTTACAAATGGAATGTTTGTATAGCGTTCTATATATGCCATTCTACAATGTTCTACAAATGATAAGTATAAATAACATTATATAACAGATCATTCTAGTATGTTTTGCAAACTATCAGTATTAATAACATTCTAGAACGATCTGTTCTACAACGTTCTACAAACGATAAGTATAAATAACATTATATAGCAAATAGTTCTAGTACGTTTTGCGAATTGTCAGTATTAATAATGTTCTAGAATGATCCGTTTTAGAACATATTACGAAGATACATATTAATAACATTATATAATACGAAATATCAGTATTAATAGTTATATAATGGATCGTTCGAGAACTTATACTAGTGTGTATCGTATAAAAGTTATAACTCTTATAGTTACACTATATTATAAATCGATATATAACGATTTTATTTATTATTATTTTTTTTTGTTTGGAACATAATGAAGGATATCATATTTCTTTTGTCCGATATATAAACGAAGACATCATATTTATTTTGTCACAACATGTAGCAAAAGTTTTTGCTAAATATAATGAATATTTAATACAAAAATAAATCTATTTATTGAAAAAATATTATAAATTAAAATTTTTTATTTTTCCCTATAATTTATTATTTGTTTTTTTAAAATTATCTTTTATTTATAATGTCTTTTTGAATATTAGATACTATATCTTTCATATGTATTTAATAATTTAATAATTATTATTTAATACGATAATTAAAAATAGCTATGCATTGTATATTGAAAATTTCGAAATAAGGTATTGTTTTATAATCAATACGATGATAATTAATGAGTATTATTTAATAATGAATATGATGATTAAAAATAATGATACATTATATTGTATTTTAAATTATTAAGTATATTACTGTATATTGAAGATTTCGAAATAAGGTATTGTTTTATAATCAATACGATGATAATTTAATGAGTATTATTTAATAATGAATATGATAATAATTTAATGAGTATTATTTAATAATGAATACAATGATTAAAAATAACGATATATTATATTGTATTTTGAATTATTAAGTGTATTACTGTATATCGAAAGTATATTTGTATTGTTTATTCAAAAGTTATTAAAG